CTAGAACTAAATGAAAATATGACACTAAATAGGACGCAATGGAGAAAAAGGATTCATGTAGCCGACCCCACGTAGTGGGATTAAGGCTTTGTTGTTGTTGTATTAAATATGTTAATTTTTTTTTGTAAAAATGATAACTTAGGTGTGACATATGTAAATTCATGAGAACTGTATGCTATGTATGTAAATGCCCTTAAAATGAATTCTAAAATAGCATAATGTATAAACTCATATGATGTGGAATGATGATACGCTAATCTATTGAAATATGCTTGAATTTATGAGCGGTTAGAAATCTCTTAAATACGAAGGATTTATGAAGATTGCTAATATTTGGCTTCTATTTATATGTCTAATACTTAAAATTTTATTTTTATAATATATTAGTGTTTCAATCACATCGAAGTATTTACACAAAAAAAGGTGTATTTTAGCTTAAAATAGTTGGTATTAATAATATTTTTATGTAATTTAAAGATGAGAAACTTGCAACCATACCACACATTTCTTATATATTTGATTCACCAGCAACAAATTTTCATCGTCCAACATGAGTGAAGCATTACACAACTCTCGAGGTAAGTTTTTTTAGCAAAGAATGTTCAAATTTCAGTTAAAGTTCATCCAAAACTCTGATTTCAATAAATTTACTATCAAATTGGCCGGTTCGATGAGATGAACACAATGATATCAAAATTGGTTTCATCTGAGTCAAATCAAAACCATATCAATCTGTTAAACAACTTTTAAAAGCTTTCAGTGCATAATCGGAAGGTCAAATGAATTCAAAATCTGACATGCTTATGGTCAGATCGAGCGCCTCGAAAAAACAAATCTAACAAGCCCAATATCATTAAAACACTTAAATATTTACATAACACCGTTAGATTGAGATAATCTCTCCAAACTGTCCCATCAAAGTGGTTTGAATTACTTTTTTATTTGCAACTCAGACTATATACATTAAGCTCTACCTCATATTAACGGAGTACTAGACCCTGAGTAAGCGGAAGACTAGGGGTTGTAGAAGAGGGAATCAAATTACATTATTCTACATCGATGATTCAACGAATGCTTCCCACTCCTGCGGCCACCACCTACTCCTTGTGACAGACATCTTAGAAGAATTATAGTGTGTGTTGTTGCATCTCAGTGTATGTTGCAAAACAATGAAACACTCGCAAAGCCGCACACCATTCTGAACATTGGGTATCAACGCACCTCAAAGACGAGAAACCGAAGTCACAACAAGTGTAATAAACTGCAATCATTTGGAACCATTGTGCAACAAAGATTGTATCTTGAGAAACTGTGCAGTCCTCTCTCATGTGTGGGAAAAGGATCTGGTTGCATAATCATCAATTTATATTGAACTATTCTGACCGGGACCTGCCCTGCAAATCTTTCTCTTTCTGGGTTATCCATATAAAAAACTTTAGGTGTCTCTACTGGTTATTTTTTTATCTAAGCATGTATTGGATTCTCATATAATGCTAAGACAATAATTCATCACTCTATTGTTATGGATCTTCTAACACACAACAATATTTACACAACTAACACTTAAATTTGATTTTTTACTTTTATAATATTTTAGTGTCATAAATAAATGTATGAAATAGTTTATTTTATTGTATAACCAAAAGGTGTCTAATATACGAAAATGTGTGTGCCAGTATGAAAATGTGTCAGAGACATGAAGTGAATCTAATGAAGATAACTACCAGGAGCAAGCTTATAATTTATACTTTTATCCTGCTGGACTCTATAAATAAGATGACTTTTTCATGTAAAAAGGGTCGTCCATTTTAGGCACCACTCGTCCCTTCTCTTGTAAGAAACATTTTTAATATTTTAATACATAATATGGGTACAAGAGCCAAGAGAATGCCTCCAACTTTCTAGCTTGGGTCAATCACCATGTCACTCTCCCTTCTCTCTTCCTCTCTCTCTCTGTCTCTCTCGTTTCTCTATACTCTATTCCTTGGGTATGCCTAAATGACAAATTTATATTCAACTTTTGTTGCGATGAGTGTGGACATGATGTCAACAAAAAGATGAGCAACATCGAAGAAAAACTCTTAACTAACACTTTTAGCAGAGAGCACACAAGGGAAAACGACAAAACGATAAATTCAATAGCCCAAAAATCTCATTTCCATCGTCGTCTTCAGAGATGTTTTGGCTCAGAGGCGAAAACCACATTAAAAAATGAAATCTGCAACGACCAAAACTCCTCACCGCGCTGGTTTAAACAATTGCTGTCATGCAAAATTCCACCAAAATAAACTCTCTGTCATGTGAAAATCATCATGTCGGCCAAAATCCGCAACATGAATTTCCGCCGGTCAGTCGCCCTGATTATGCCGGTCTCTAAATTTAAATCCCGCAGGCCAACAAAAAATCATCCGACCACCGGCAAAATTCCCGTCATCCAAAATCCAAGTCGATTGACTGAGTTGCTAGCCGACCGAAAACTCCGATCGACCAAAAACTCCAAACGATTTAAATATTTATATGAGTGAAAAACTCAAATGACCTAAAATCCAGCATAGAAGAAATTTGGGCGGCTGAACTATCCAACAATGATATTTCATTTTATTTTTTCTTTTAAATTAATATGTCAGCTCTTCTAATTATGTTTTCTCGGGTCCACCTGAGACTGTGGCACTCGAAATGTTCACATGCGCTCAAACTAGGATAGCCAGATTGACAACGATGTCATAGACATCCAATCGCTTGATAAACAAATAGCTGACCCTCAATGCAAAGCATAAAATATCGTGTCTCTAAACTCATAATAGTTAAAAGATCTCGAGGTGGTTCCTTGCTTTGTAGCGACAAAAGCCGCGAAGAGTACGACACAAATCACCCTAGCAGCAAGTTGTATCAATTACCCCATCGAAGGCAGTGATAAGATCCGCTTAAAGCCCGACAAATGATAAGACTCGCCCAGAAGATGAATCGACAGAGCTAATGAGACATAGACTTTGCAAGACTTGAGCTGAATCATGAGCGAACTACAGTACATAAGAAACAAAAAATGATCTTTTCGAATTTCTGTGTCGCCAACCAACCCAAAACATCCAACAGTCACAGTGTAAGATACAAAATAATCGAAGGTAAAAATTGATCCAGAACTTTAATTATTTTTTGAATAAATCACTAACAATTTTTAAAAAGTGTTGACTAAGTGAAAGATGAAGTCAATATGGTCGATTGAAGGCCACCTCAACAAGTCGAAAGTTAGTTAGCCGGCCGACAACGTGGATAAAAAAATTAATCCAAAAAATCCTCAGGAGAGCACTTCGGGACCTGAGAAAACAATGCATTAAGAGACACAAAAAACAAGAGAGTATAATTAGTGCATTATTGTGATTACCTTTTTTGCAGTTAGACTCTCATTCTTATCACAGATTCACTTTCAAGAAGTACTATACTTGGGGGCATTCGTTTATGATAAAAAAATGCATGTTGGTACGAATACTCTCTAAAGACATAATGTGGTGATCAAAAGATGTACGTTATCATCTTGACCAAAAAAAAAAAAAAACAACAACACGACTTAAACATCTATTACATGTATTATAATATATTCAGATAAAAATCCACCACAACATAAAGGTCAAAGTTTACATGCACGATATGTGAAGAAATAAGAAATGTGTGATGCATGTAAAAATCAAAAGTCAACTAACAACCTTTCTCAGCTATCTCATTCCAACATTATATGAAGTTCAATCTCAGCACTTGAGCATTGAAAGAAGAAAAAAAATCCGAAACACTTGAATCTGCAACAAAACAAAAGAACAAAATTCAGTTGCTAGATAAAATATCAAAAATACATTTGTTTCACCGTAACATATTCTTCTCTGTCTAACCGTCACTAGAAATCTTACAATTCCCTTTTGCGTATTTTTGGTAGAGTTACAATTGCACCATTGTAAGTCACAAAAAAATATTATCTCAGGGGTACTGATCAATGGTGGGGTGCCACGTGGTGCCACGGTTGGACCATTGCATACGTGACTCCCCATCATTGAAGTATTGATGCATCAGTACTCATGAGGTAATATTTTTTCGTAAGTCACACCCCTATCTTAATTTTTTTTATCGAGACAACATAAACAAGAGTTGTACGGTACAAAATGTAAAGTCCCTATATCCTCAAAGGATTCAACACTTATGTTCAAATAACATATTTTAATTTAATTTATTACATATTTGTATAATAAAATTAGAGCAACTTCTTCTAAATACATATTTTTTATTAATTTAAAAAAATTTTAATTTCACATATGCATATGCTGTAGTTTTTCTTAGGGTCTATTTGGGGCAGCTGCAATTTATTGAATAATCTGCTGATAAGCTAAGTACGATGTGTATTAGAAATTTTTATTTTTTTTGGAAAAGTCATACCTCTGTCAGAAAGCTGTCACCGCACCTAAATAGGTGCGGTGTGAGCATTTTCAAAACGCACAAGCTGCCAAAAGTTTACCCAAACAGTCTAGGTGCATTTTTAAACGCCACCGCACTAAGCTGCCCTTAAAAAAACCGTGTAATACTTCTAAAATAAATTATCAATATCTATTTTTATATTTTCTTATAAAAAATTGATAAATAACTAAAAAAATAAAATAGTAACGGTTTTAATTTTTAACCGATTTAAAGCTGTTCGGACCCATCTCTTTTCAAAATATTTTAAGACCCCTTCTTTAGTGGGTCCCAAAAGTTCTTTACAAATTTTTTTCAAAAAGGCATTTACATGCAGACCACCTAAGTTTTATTTATTTACATAAAAAAACACCTAAATTGTTGCTCCACCAAAATCTTTCATATAACAATAGCATATTTTCATAAAGGTCTGCATGAATTTAAAAATCGAAATTTTGGTATAGCATATGTAAATACATGAGAATTAAGTGATTTGTATGTAAATTGTACATCCTTAATTTGATTGCTTCTCCCTCCTCCATTCCCCACTCACCGTCTTCCTCCGCTCCCGCTGGCCGGCCATTATCCTCTCTCTCTCTCTCTCTTCTACTCTTCTCTCTTCTCTCTATCATAAAGGCGCGCAGTTCCGGTGACATCCTGACTGGCAAGCGAGCTTCCTTCAAAATCTGTGCCTCACCCTCTTCTGCTCCTCTGCTGCGACCCCCTTCTCACCTAACTCCCATTTGATGCGATTCTCTAATAAAAAAAGCTTCTTTGTCCCTCAAAATACCTTCTTGCTAATTTTTTTCTCACCATCGAAAGAACCCTGGTGAAGTTCCGCTGATTTTTAGGTATCCAGTCTTTATTTCTTTTGATTGATGGCATGGAGATTAAGGACTTTTCACAAATCTGTTTTCTTTTTTGTTGTTTGATGCTGAAGATTTGTACTTGAAATGGGCTGTGCGCACTCGAGAGTGGACAAGGAGGAGACAGTGTGGAGATGCAGAGTGAGGAAAAGGCTAATGAAGCAGCTCCTTCGTTGCAGATCTGACCTCGCGGCCGCCCACATGGCTTACCTCCAGTCTTTAAGAAACACGGGAGCCACTCTCCGGCAGTTCACCGAGTCGGAATCCGAGGTTTCCGGTAACTTTCCTCCTCATGTTGCATTTCCCCACTCGCTTCCACCACCACCACCACCACCACCACCACCTCCTCCTCCTCCTCTCCCACCTTCTCCTCCGCCTCCTCCTCGATTGAGCACATGTAAGAAGGTAAGGGAAGTGGAGGAAAGAAGAAGCAATGGTGATGATAATTCTTCCATTAACACAGACACTGATGAAGATGATAATGAGAGTTGCAGGCCTCCACCTCGTCCCATTCATAACTTGGATTGGGATTTCTGGGATCCATTTGGCATTCCATCTGGTTCAAATGCTTCTTCGCCAGTTTTGTTGAATAAGGGTTTGGGGGATGAGGAGAAGTGGGCTGAGGCCATCACAGAGTTTGAAGATGAGGTAGAGGAAAGGGAATGTCAACGCTCTGATGTGAACATGACATTGATTTCGGTTAAAGAGAAGTCACCTTCGAGGGAATTAGCTGATGACAACTCTTCAACGTTTAGTGGGATCACTAAGGAAACTGATGCAGCCATGGTTGTATGGAGGAGGAAGAAGACATTGGCAGGAATTGTGAAGGAGATTGATGATTATTTCTTGAAGGCTGCTGCTGGCGGTAGCGAACTATTAGTTCTTTTGGAGTCTACTCATGGACAGAGCCTTGAAAGCAACCTCAACGGAACTAAGGGTGAATCACATTTCATCTCTCCTTCATTGCTCGGGTGTTGCCAAAAAAAAAAAAAAAAGGGGAAAAGTGTAAAAATAGTCATCTAACTTCTTGCGAGGCCATTTTAGTCCCAAAGTCTTTAAAAGTGCCAATTTTGTCCCCAAATTTCCTTAAAGTTGGCTGAAATAAACCCCATGGAGCACTATTCATCCTTACTTTAAAGAATATGGGGACTTAATTGACTTTTTTAATGAATTTAGGATTAAAATGAGCTCATGTAAATAATCGGGGGACTAAAAAATAGTCATCTAACATCTTGCAGGAGTTCATTTAAGTCCCAAAGTCTTTAAAAGTGCCAATTTTGTCCCCAAATTTCTTTAAAGTTGGCTGAAATAACCCCCATGGAGGAATATTTCATCCCCACTTTAAAGAATATGGAAACTAATATGACTTTTTTAAAGAATTTGGGATTAAAATGAGCTCATGTAAATAATCGGTGGACTATTTTGGTTCTTTACTCAAACAAAAAAATAAAAAAAAGAAGTCATTTACCTCTCCTTTGTTGCCTACTCAAGACTACTATGAAATTTACCCCACATTAATGACTTAATCACATTGTTCTTAATTTATTTTTTGCAGTGGTTCCTTAAGTAAATATTGAAGACCATCATTCAATAATATTACATTTTCTTATAAATTTGTTATTAGTGGGCGCCATGCTATATCCGGAGTTCAGTTGTCTTATGTAGTGACAATATAATGTCTCACTACCAATGCTGAAATAGTATCAATTTTTGTGCAAAATATCATTCTAAATTGGAAAGGAAATTGTTCATATGGTCATCTTCATATTTGTGTTCTATTTCTTGTAAAGCATTGGGCGAGCATCAAGATTTGAAGTGACGACCTCGTAGAATCATGAATGTATTAAGATTGATGCTTCTCCTGATGTCTTCCTTATCTTCAAGAATTCAACCTTTGATTTTGGGAGCCAATGCGAGTCCTTATTTTTATTTTCTTAATATTCAATATAGAGTAGGAAGCTATCATTTATATGACAAAAAAAGCTTCATTACACATTTTGGGATGTTCTCTACCTTGAGGTGGAAGCAAAGCATTTTGAGAACTTGCTATTCCTACTCTATTCATAGTCATCCACTCCGTGATAATGTTGAATGAGATCCTACTGCACGCAACATGTTTTTGTTTTTAGAAATGGGTATTTACATTCATACCACCCAATTCTCATTTATTTACTTTTATAACACCAAAAATTTACCTTTTACATTCATACTACTCAAATCTTTCATTTCACATAAAAAATACCACTATTTTAACTTTTAAAGAGTGAAATACACATGTTCATGCAAATATAAGGTGGCATATATGTATACATTGAAGTTTAGTTGTTAGATATGTAAATGCATAAGAATTGAGTGGTATGTATGTAAATATTCCTTTTAGAAATGAATAATGCTATTCGGAATGTTAATGAGTTGCTAAAGTTACTATTTTTTCTCTTAAGATTCCTTTTTTTTAATTTTTTTCTTTTTTTGCAGGTAAGACTTCAAAATCAGCCAAGGTTCTGTCTTGGAATTGGTCTCTTAAATCTCCTCATTCAAATAGAGGCGCTTGCGGCCAAAATTGTGAATCATGCAGGCCGAGCAAACATCGTACCACACTCGAAAAGATTTATGCTGAAGAGGAGAAGCTTTACAAGGAAGTTAAGGTAAACTTTGTTCTACCAAGCCATGACATTTTAGGGATTATTTAAAAGATTCATAATTTTATGGTCTTTTGATAGTAGGAGCAGTGGAATTAGCTTGATACTTTTCTGTATGATTAGTTCTAATAAAAAAACTTGTCATCAATTTCTTTCTCAAATCATTTTAGACCGGCTTTGTGAACCCTTCTCTTCTAATCATTCTTGAGGAATACTGCTTTAAATGTCAAATTCTATTTATGCAAATATTTTTTGTATAAATCCTTGTCAATTTTCCTTGCTAGACTTTCCACAAAATGCTTTCATATTTTTTAGTGCATTTTATGTCTTTTATTATGCATGCTTTGGCATATAAAAATTGCCAACTAGGAGTGATTGTGGAAAGTTTAGCAATTTTAAACTATGAGACAAAATTCTAAACTAGTATACAAAATTACTCAAGAAACGCACCTTAAAGCTTAAGCAATTATTAGCTACTTTTGATAAAAAATAAAAATAAAATGACTTTTTATTGGAAATAATGACTAGAAATTTAGAATCAAAATAGCCACACATGCTAACTCTAGCTCTCATTCTACGAGATATTGCCCAATTTGGCCTATGGGCTTCACAATTATATTTGTTGATGCTGCTTTTTTGAAAGATTATTTTTTTTAATGCTTGAATGTTTAGCCACTAAAAAAAAAAAAAAAAAGAAGCGTTAGGACACATACGAGAGCCTAATAAACAATCAAAAGAAGCTTTTCGAACATACAAACTCACTGGCATTGGACAGTTTGGCTAGAATCCAATTAAAACAATTGCTCATGTTTCACATGCCAACAATCAATACATCAGTATTGAACCTAACAACATAAATTTATTCAGTAAATCAAGTTAGCTTGGGCAATAAATTTAGAAGCGGTATTAGATATGTAGTCGTCAATAACGTATCTGACTTGATAACTTGAACCAAACCTGATTGAAAAAAAATGGTGCTTGGGTTGACTCTACTAATATTTGGGTTGTATTTTGGGTCTAAAACATAGGCTCTTTTATTATTTGGTTGAGTTTGCATGGAACTTAATAAGCCAAAATTAAATTTATTACTATTTTAGTTTGTGTTCGGCGGGATCGGGTCTGATTAATTTTCTCTCACACCTAATCTTTCATATGGATACACATATCACTCGGATCTTTAATATCACATAAAAAATAGCTCGATTACCACTTTTAAAATTGAAATGCACATTTTCATTCATAGGTTTGAAGTGCCAAAGTGCTTTATTTGTAAATATGAAGTTTAGGTGCCAGATTTGTAAATACATAAGAATTGTGGCTAGGTATGTAAATTTCCCAAAGAGTTTTCAATAAGGACTGCGAAAAGCTTCCGTAAAAATTCAGTTATGGTATTCTAGTGAGATAATTCAAAATTTATTTTAACTTGTTGCAGCTTTGAACTTATAATTGGCTTTTAGTTGTGGTGGCATAGCATTGTCTTATTTGTTTTATGGTGGTGATATATAGGAGGATGAGCTCACCAAAATTCAGCTAAAGAAGATGATCTCCTTACTTGAGAAGCTCGAGACGACCGAGAATGACTACAGAAAATCTGAAAAAGTACGATTAGATGTTGAAACTTTGCGGACTCAAATTCTTTCTCTGCAAGTGTCAATTAATGCAACATGCCTATCCATATCGAATTTAAGGGATGAAGAATTGTGTCCTCAGTTACTGGAGCTAACATATGGGTATATATTTACTAACTTCTTGTCCTTCTTCAAATCCAGCATAAGAATGATGTGAATTTGTTTATAGATACAATATTTTGAGTGATTATTTTATTCTTCTATTTTACTGCACACTCAGTTATTTTCACAACTTGCTCATCATGTTTTTTAGTAGAGATCTGAATCATACTTTGCCTCCAAACTATATTTGGCCTGGTAAGCTTTAAATTTCAACTAATGAACTTTAGTTTGGTGTGCCCAACATGTTCTTCTCTATTACATGCCAATATTGCTATTATAATCTCGGACAATTGTAGCTTGGGGTGAAAATGAGAAGAATTTGAGTGAGCCCAATGTTTGTTTGTTTAGGCTCGTTTGAATTTTGTTGGATTGAAATTGGCTTGTGTTCAAAACAGCTTGTGAATAGTCTTTGGCTCGATTTGAAATTGTTTGTTTATCTCAGCTCGTGTTATGTTTGAAATTAGGTCAAATGATTTAAAAAATAATAAAGTTTAACATTTTTTTAATACAACACAAAAATTAATATAAAAATGTTATAATAACTTCCTTTATTTGTGGTTGACTCGTTTATAAATCAAGCTAAAAGGATTGTTCGTGTCTGTCTTGTTTTCTTAACGAACAAATCAAATACGAGTTGTTCGCAAATGAAGAGCTTTTTTGGTAGCCCTAATTGTGCCATACCAAGGCCAAATTTTGTTCCAACTCCTCCAAAACCATTCTAGTCTCCTTACAATCATGCTTTCTTTTGCTTCTTACAGGCTTTTGCGCATGTGGAGAACCATGTTTGAGTGCCATCAGGTTCAAAGCCATATTTCACAGCAGGCAAATCTTCTCGACAGCCATCCTGACACCAAACCAACTAGTGAATCCCATCGCTTCGCTACGGTTCAACTGGAAAATGAGGTTACATCTTGGCACGCTTCTTTTTGCCGTCTTCTCAAATCTCTTCGTGCCTATGCCACTGTTCTTAATCAATGGGTTAGGCTTACTGACTGCTTGCCATATTGTACAAACGTTCCTGGTTCCATAGAAGGGATCCATTCTCTTGGTGAAGAATGGCAGGTAGCTCTCGATGGATTACCGGACAAGGTGCCTTGCTTTCCTTTCATATGTTTTATATTTTTATTTTAGAGAAAAGTTCAAAATGAGAGTTATTTTAGTCCTAGAGTTTATAAAAATATCAGTTTACCCCAAGCTTTTTTAATATGGGTTGAAATAGTCTGTTGCGAGCATTATTTTAGCCTTCATTAAAAGAGTTGGAGGGCTAATGTAAAACTTCAATAAACTCTGGGTCTAAAAAGCTCCATCTTGATATTCAAAGGACTATTTGGCACTCTACTGTTTCATTTTTTTTGCTAGCATGCTACATGACAAGTGGAAATTTGAGCCTATGCTTAGCTTTAACTCTTCATTATGAGGTTTGCAGCATTGTTTGAAGTTCTTACAAATTAGTTACCAATATTTGTGCATTTTGGGTAGGATCTCTCTCTCTTAATTGCATAACGGTCGAGTGTTTTCGTGTTTGTAGTTCATGTAAAACTTATAGCTCGGCTGACAACTTTAATGGCTTCTCTTATTTGAAAGTGCCTTGAGTTCAGAAATGTGGTATAAAGATTTTGGATTCTATGTTATTTGTTTTATGAACCCAGTGAGAGACTTTATGCGCCTCAGATTATTTTACTCATGTTAATTTGTTGAAGCATTTACATACATACCACTCAATTCCTATGCATTTATCTACCTAACACCCAAACTTATACTTTGTACATTTCTAGCACCCATATCTTTCATATTAAACTTACACTTTACTCATGGTCAAATTCTATATTGTAAAATGAGAATGCTACCATAAATGGGTGATAAAATTAAGAAGGATAAGAGTTGCTGACATCATCATTAGTGTTTTCTTAATTCTTTGTGGTTTGAGAATATAGAGTGAGTCATGATTATACCTTAGAATACTTAATGAAAGATGGGTAATGGATAATATATGATTATATTGCCTGGTCATAGCTCATAACTAACTGAGCATAGTAGATTCATCTTTAAATAAGTAAATAAGATTAATCTGAAAGAATATGAAGGAAAGAGGCAATATTATAGAAAATTTTGGTTGAAATTAATTTAAAAAAATTGTAAACTAGAGTAATGTCTTATGTAGGATCCAGTAGTCATATTGATTGACACAAGCTATGCTTCTTTTGGTACTCTCAATGTCTGTTTGGGACAGGTGTCTGCCTGTTTTGTATTTTAGGCTGTAACCATAATTCTTTATGGGGAATCTCTTTTTTGCTACTTTCTAGAAATTTTTGCAATGAAAATTGTTTTTGCAGCTAGGTCTATTAAACTATGACGGCTGTAAGAAAATTACTATGAGTTTTGGGAAAAAAAATAAATTTATGTATTTCAAATCGTAACTTTCTAAGAAGTTGATTTTCTCATCACTTTTTGAAAACCAACTTTAAAAAAATTTGCAGCGGTCCCAAACGGATCTTAAATTTGAAACCTACATCATTGAAAGCAATGAAACAAGTATAAAGCCAAGATGGCTTGCATATTGAATAGATGGTCAACAATTTTGTACTCAATTGAAAGGAAATATTATTTGGTCTTTGATGATACAAAAATCATTCAAAAGCTCTTATTACTGCTCCTAACATGTTATGATTTCTAAATTCAGGTAGCCGCAGATTCAATAAAAAGCCTTGTCTCAGTTATCCACTCTATTGTTCAACAACAGAATGTGGAGCTGAGTCTGCAGAAGAAATTGAAGCGGCTCGAAAACAAGTTGGAGAAGGAACTAAATTCCATCAATCCAACACACAACACAGATCCTGATAACCAACCATCACCAAGTAATACAAAACTTGACGCCCTCAAGACGAGGGTGGAAGACGAGAAAGCAAAATATTTAAGCTCCATTCGTGTCAGCCGAGCCATGGAGTCGAACAATCTCCACACGAGCCTGCCAAATGTTTTCCAAGCTCTCATGGCTTTCTCAAACATATGCTCGCAAGCTCTTGATGGAATTGTAAAATCCACCGACGCTCCGATAGAATCTTAGCAATAGCCAATCTGTATAACCATTGTTTTCAAACTGCGAAGTTGGATAATCTAAATTTGCAATGTTGAGGTAATGGAGGTTGTTTATATGATTAATTTTGTTTTTGAAAGAGGTTTTTGGTAATTTTTGTATCTATTTTTTGTTTTTGTAGGTAGGTTTGTGCAGCAAAGATTCTGCAGGAGAAGATGGGTGTGGTGCTGTCTTGATTGCACAATTAGAAAGGTTTGTGCTGCAAAGATTCTGCATGACAGAGATGGGTGTGGTGCCGTTTGATTGTACAATTAGGGTCTGGAATGTAATAAGAAAAGTTTGGTGTTTGCTAAAACTTGTATTGTTTCATTAACAAGTAAAATCACATGGGCATTGTATGGGGGGATTATTAAATGAGTTTCTGGGTCTGTAAGATGTTTATGACAACAGTTTTGTTGCGTGAAATTGAAGTGCCTGCTAGCATTATTTGCTACTTTCTTCATGGTTTTTAATTACTATTTATAGAGGTATATATGTATGTATACACTAAAAAGTTATATATTTACAGATCTACCATTTATATCTTCAATATTACATTAAAAATAGCACTGATATCAACTTTTTTATCTCATGTGATTGTGAGACTATAATGTTTATTAGTATCAATATTTAAAATGTAGGGTATGTAAATACAAAAAAAATTGTGATAATTTTTTTTATTAGTTTATGTAAATTGGATGGCAGTGGATGATATGTCACAGCTTTGTTAAAGCTTTCTGATTAAAAGACTGAGCGCATATGCTGAGTTGTTTTCGGCAAAAAGAGATTAGATAGAGCAGGAAGCACTAGTTTTTGTTGGAAAATTAAACAAAAAAAAATTGCACTTTGGACCCAATTTAAGGTCTGGATATCATTTGCTAATCTACTTAGGCGGATGTGTTCATTTTTTTATTTTAATAAAAAAAAATATTCTATTTCTACAAGTTTTTTCTTTTTTTTTTTTGGGAAGCCGACAAGAAAAACTGCTGCAAAGTTAAGAAAAAGATAGCACAGTTGCAAATTTTAAAAAAAATGATATAAGGTGTTAGAAGGGTTTGGTGGTATTTTAAATTTCAGGTAATTTGTAAATTTATAAATTTATGAAAACAGAAACTAAAAGTTTATTATGGGACAGTAGAGTTGATTTCTTACATGTTTACATTGCAGAAGAGCGATTATTGCATCGCGGCTGTGATCGTAGAGCTGCGTGCGCTCTCCGCACGTAATAATTAGACCATTGCAGAAATGTATGACGGCTTAGAATTACCCCTGCAATTCCTCATTATAAACCGTTACAAAGCTGACATTTATAACAATTATAGTTAACTAAGTAATTGCACCAGACAATTATTTCTGTGAAGATATTGAATATATCATGCAATAAAAAAATCGGCATAAATAGGCAAATATCTATTACATTAAAGTTCCCTCAACAGAAGACAGATTGAGAGAGAAATGAGACGGATTACTTTCGATCACAAGTCAAAATTACATGGAATTATTTTCAAAGAGAAAAACTACATCTAATACAACCGATCATCTCAAAAAAAAAAAAAAGCATTGCCTCTAACGACAATTAGAGATTGAAAATGCAGAAGTTGCAGAAGGTTCCCAAGATCCAGTAATTTGAAGGGGGGAATACTCAAATGTTCATTAGTAAATTTGTAAAGAGCTGTTCATTCCCTTACATTTCCATTTGGTCCCAATCAAGCGATTTGTCTTCAAATGAGAAGTTTGGATGTTGAAGACGGCTGCGAGCCAACCTACTCATCATTGCGAGGCCTGAAAAATATTAAAACTGCTGTTAGAGAACTTGAACCAAGTAAAAACAAATAAAGAAATTTTTGAAAAATGGCGTGATTGCAAAGAAAAACATACTGAAAATACATTTATTTATGTTTAAGATCAAATACAGTGGTGTTGATGAGAATTAAAATTAACCAATGCAAGATAGATTTTGATAAATTTAATGACATTCACTTTGTAATAAATTTGTGAAGAAAATGAACCATCAAGTTAACAGAACTTTATGAGCTTCAAACAAAAACCATGAAAACTTTACACTTCACGGACAAAAAAATAGTCTAGATTCTCTTATTCAAGTAATTATGAAAACAGACACCTGCCAGATAATAACTTTATATATCTAGTCATTTGGAGGCATCTTTACACTCATATTAAAAAAGGTTATATATATATATATATATATATATATATATATATCAGCATCCTTAAAATGAATTTAGGGAAATTTATATATATACCACACAATTCTTATGTACTTACATTACACCTAATGTTTCATATTTATAATTTATAAAATGCTCGTGTTTTAAGTCTATGCATTAAAAAGGTGAATTTCGCTTTTAAGAAATTAGTAATACTGATATTTTTGATGTGATGTTAAAAATTCACGCAGTATGCATGTAAATATCATAAATTTAGGTGTTAGAAATGTAAATATGTAAAAATTGTGGCATGCATGTAAATGCCCCAATCTAGAAAAATTTACATACCACACAATTCTTATGTATTTCCAAATTTAACAACTAAAGTTTCATAATTACATTTATAACACCACGGTATTATAAACCTATAAAGTTGTATTTCACTTTTAAGAAGTTAGTAATATAGGAATTTTTGATGTGATGTTGATGACTTATTAGTGGAATGCATGTAAATATCAAATTTTAGGTGTTCGAAATGTAAATGTATAAGAATTGTGTGGTTTGTATATAAATGCCCCAATTTAGAGAATTTGCATACATATCATACAATTCTTATGTATTTCCAAATCTAACACCTAAAGCTTCATATTTACATTTATAACCCTATGGTGTTATAAGCCTATGCATGAAAAGGTGTATTTCACTTTCAAGAAGTTAGTAATGGAGATACATTTGACGTGATTTTAAAGATTTTTAGTGGTATGCATGTAAATATCAAAGTTTAGGTGTTAGAGGTATTAAATATATAAGAATTATGCGGTATATATGTAAATGCCCCAATTTAGGGAAGTTTACATACATACCGCAAAATTCTTATGTATTTCGATATCTAACACACGTCAATTTTTATATTTACATTTATAACACTAGTGTTGTAAACCTATGCATGAAAAGATACATTTCACTTTTAAGAAGTTAGAATAGAGTTATTTCTTATATGATGTTAGAGATTAGAGCAGTATGCATGTAAGTATCAAATTTTATGCATTAGCTATGTAAATATATAAGAATTGTGTGGTATGTATGTAAATGCCCCATGAACTCGGTGAAAATTTTACCTTCAATGACTTTATATAAAGAGGACCACCACCTCTCTCTGGGAACCTGTAACTGATTCAGTGATGAATCAATTTCATTATCATGCTTTCCTTCTAGAACACTCTGAAGAGTGAGGACCGCATCCTTCGCTTTCTTGAGAATGCTATCCTCATCCATGGCTTCAAGGGATTTGAGATCATTGTGGGAAGATGTCAGACTTGCAGCAAGTGCAAATTGAGCAGCTATTGCCCAGCGAGATGAGGCAAGCCATTTCCTCTGACCATCTTGCCTTCTGCTCTCTTCCATGTTGGACTTGGCGAAAACTAAACTCTATATTTTTCAAAATAACAGCAGAATAATGGATTAAGTAAAAGAAAATGAAATTCCATAAAAACTGTTCGGAATGAATTGAAGGAAATGAAATGGAAAAAAAAAAGAGTTGAAAAATCTAATTCAATGGTTGTTGCTTCAATATCTAATCAACGAAAACTTGTTGGGATTTCATTTTTTTTCCATCATTTTTTTTCAATTTAAGCAGAGCAAAAAATGATACCATGAAGTAAGAGAGTGAGATTCATCCATTATTACCCGTAAGTATTCAGCATTGGCTGCTCCAGTACTCTGGACCATTTTGGAGAAAGCACTTTCTTCATTTGATAAGAGATCCTCCGGTGTATCAAATTCTAGGACCTTCATTGAAAGGTTGATAATATGAGTATAATTTGCCATTAACTCGTGAATGTTTTGCTGTCACTAAATGTTGTTGAAGCCATTAACAATCGTAGGTGATGGAAGAGCAAGCTCATATAGGACAAATAAATAGATTATCATGGCTGAATTACCAAATCAGTATGAAATAGACAATAGTAATCTCATAAATCTCATATTCTAAAGATCTTAGAACTTATCTGCCTGAAACCTATAACTTCCTCGACAACTATTAAAATATGCTGCTGCAAACAGATTGTTTTACCATATCAGTAAAGTTTAAATCGAATTTCATTTGGGCAATCATTAGCAATTTGTCAGCAGAGTACCATGAAAAACAGTCATCAAGAGCTCTCCCAGTTTAACACAGAGCCATGTAAAAAAGGTAGGTGAAGTAAACATGTTTTTTACATGTAAAAAGTAAAATATATCTTAGCGGAGATGTCAGATTTTTGTGGAGAAGCATAAGAACATCTCACGTGCATCACACTCTTGAAAAAGAACCTTATTCAGCTAAACGAGCAGATATGGTCCATGATAAACCGTATTTATCCATTTTAAATCTTTCCATACTTCAATGTTCCGAAACAGACTAGTATTGCTAATCTCATTATACAGAAGATGGTTCGCTAGTATAGTTTTTTTTAAATGTAATGCTTCTCAAAGTATGTTATAATATAAACAACAAAGGTTCACTCTGTTCACAATATCAAATTCACAAAAAAGAATATTTAACTGAGAATATGATGAATAAACTATCCAGTTTTGGTGCTACGTTGTAACTAATTTAACCGCTTTAAAGTGCAGAGTGAAACTGGAAACTAGCTCGTAAAGAGACTCATAAATTAAGGATTGGAACGAGTTTGAAAAAGTTTTAAATTTTCATTCTTTCATGCAAATATAAATCTTAGGTAATTAAGGGGCTGTTTGGCTGAAAGTAGGATTTAGTGACCTTAAATCATTTGGTAAATCACTAAATCCATAAATCCGTAAATCCACCCATCCCTTGGATTTAGCAAATCCAGATTTAGGCAGAATTGAAGGCAAAATTTGATATACTAAATCCAAAATTTTGTAAATCTATGAAACTCCTGTATTTTGTCGGTTGGCTGGATTTAGTAAATCCAATGATAAATCCTATTAAAATCCTCTAACAAACAGCCCCTAAACTTGCAAACCAGACTGTAAAGGGAAGGTTAAGGGAAAGGTACCTTGCCAGAATGGAGCAGTAGAATCCTATCACAATCGATTATTGTATTCAAGCGGTGGGCTATGATGAGCATGGTGCAAGACTTGAACTCTTCCCGAATTGTCTTCTGAATAAGGGCATCGGTTCTGACATCAACGGCGGCCGTTGCTTCATCAAGAACAAGAATCTTAGATCTCCGTAGTAATGCACGGGCAAGACTTAAAAGTTGCCTCTGTCCGACGCTGAAATTTTCGCCCGCCTCAGAAACCTTTAAATAAATAAACACGATAAGTTGGATGCTCGACTGAGTTTTTTTCATCAAGCATGAGGATATCATCTTCGCAGAAGGGTTTTTTCTACTCAAACCAGAAAACCAAACAACAAATGAGCAGTGGGTCATAAAATAAGCAATCGATTTATGCCAAACATCAACTAATGAGGGCAATTTGAGAATTAAAAATGAAAGAGCATAATTTAAAAAAAAAAAAACAAATAAAATTTTTGCTAAAGTCTGCATACTAAATTCTTAAATGAAATTATATCCTAGCAATTGGCGGTGGAAATGAAGGGGTGCCAGCAGTGCTGTTAAAAGGACATGAAAGGGTGGATGTGAGCTAGTTTAATTAATAAATATCTTGGAACTTCTTACCAAAATCTAGAAATCAAATCCTGCCAAGGTCAAATTTATACCTTAAACAGCAAAACTGAAAGGGAAAAAATCAAATGATTGTCCCTAAAATATGCAAAATATTATTCCCAAAAGAACATATAGAATCAAAAAGAGATCATATAGCACAAAAAAGGGGGTCAATTGATCTTTGTTATATGAGTTCATTCATCTATCTATATATATTATATGAAGTTAGATGCAATGAACGTTAGAACTTTTCGATAAAAGTTGGTCAATCTTCAGAATGTATAGGCTCGTTTGAGTTTGATGCCGATACCCCACCCATCATGAGAATAAGTATTTCAATATTAATACTTTGATTAAAATCCATAAAGATTGGGAAAATAAACTAACTTCCATTTAATAGATATGGAATTACACAAAAATTTAAGATTGCTTGAGAAATAAAAAAGGCTTGCTGAACGCAACAAAAAAAAAAAAAAAAGGCAACAATAGAGAATGGTGATACTTGTTGAGATTCTCCACATTCTATGTTCGAGAGTGTGCTTTCCCATCAATAATTAAGCTTGAAGATCCTAAATTTTATTACTGCAATGAAGACGTAAGGACATTCCAAAAGTGGTGATAGTTTTATTGAGGCCCTTTCCCAATAGCTTCAATACTTTGAAGCTCAGATACCCGATAAATTATATTACAATTTTACCTGACAACCAAAATTGACAGCGCTTCAACGAGTGTAGGTCACTCTAAATGTCTCACCTGTCTCTAGGAAGTAGAAGTTATGTAGCATATTGCCATTAGCAAGGGCATCGAAGCTTGGACACTGGGACTAATTAAAGGGTGTCCTTCTATAAGGTTTTCAAAAAGTAGTTTGGTAAGCTCAATGGATATTGGGCAACTCCTCAGCCTACCCTAGCCTTGTCAAGGTGTGTCTTAAGACCCTTTAAAATAATCAATTGTTCAATTCAATGTGCTTAGTTTGGGGGTGGATGATGACAATATGGAATGGTTGGATATGAACATAAAGATAGAACATCATGTAGAACTTGGTAAACTGTATCCCATTATTATGAAGATTATCACAAGCACATCGAAGTGATAGATGATGTTCCTCCACATAAATTACATGGCATTGGCTTTAGTGATCCTAGCAAGTGATTTTTGCTTCCACCCACTCTGAGATAACCGGCGATTATAATGATGAATTAAGTTGCCAGAAATCTAGAAGACATGAAACAAAGATGCCGGTCCCCCACTTGGCGACATGACAGCATCAGTAAAGCATTAACTGGCCATGAGATGGTGGGTAACGATTGATAAGAAGCCAAAAATCCAAGTATTGCTATCCATGGAATAGGAGCTTTAAATCAAAGTTCCAAATCATTTCCATTACAAGATCAGCCCATTGGGCCAATGTTTGCCCGAATGGTTGATTAGTGGTCATAAAAAATGATCAAGTGGTGACCTATGAACGCAACATCCCCGATAAATAAGTGGATAGCACCATTTCTCTCGTAGCCACAAGTCCAATGGACTTGATGAATCAAAATTTTGTTACTTTGATTGTGCAAAACAATTCCAAAATGGTGAAGGATCCGATTTGATTGCTGTTGGAAAGACAACAGACAACTAACATGTCATGCATTTGTTCAATTTGAAGAGAACATACCAATGCCGTTGACTATTCACAAATCAAAGACCAATAGAACTTAGTGATTCCAAAAAAAAATTTATCAGAGTTTTGGCTGTCAAAAAATGATGATGGATCTCCATTTTTTTGGGCAAAATTCCCTCTTGAGATCGACCAACACTGCAAGGGCTCATGACATCATAGTCCATAAAAATCACAATGACTTGTTAAATTTTGATCTTTGAAATTTTAGAATGAATTGTTTGAAATTCAGAGCATCTCATCATGATTAGAAGGATGATTTAGAGTTCTATTAGCAAGACGAGCAATAGATGATATAGACATACCAGCTGAGGATTGCCTTACATGACCTAAGCAGATCACAAAAGGAAGAAGGGAGGCTGTTTGCACTTTGGGCAGATCCAAATCAACTAGATTTGAGTCGTCATGCGAATTTGAAACCAATTGGATTCATCTAATGGAGCCACATTTACTTAATCATAAATTTGCTGAAATCAGAGTACAGATGTCTTTTAAAATAAATTTCAAGCTCTCAAATTTGGATTTGAATGTTTTTCATAACTGAAAATTGTGTGAATATATCATGATTGATCGAATTAATTTTGCGATACATACCATAGGATAGTTTAATAAATTCATTCTTAATCAATCAATTTTAGTCATTAAATTTTTAAATATCATGTTATATTTTTTTTCAAATTTGTATGAAGTAAGAAAAATAATAAAAATACTTCGAATTTACATTTTGTTTCCCCTTTAACCATCATTAATCTTTCAAATACAGGTGTTGGATAACACTTATAAGGAGTATTATAAATTTTATACAAAGGTTGTTTTGCTTATTTTTCATAGAATAAGTAACAAGTTAGAATTCATCACAATTGTAAACAAACTAAACAAAAACATATGAAGCACACAAATTTTGAAATTTCCTTCCATATAAATAAACAATATGACCTCTAAGTAATAGGAGAGCAAAAACAATCGCAAGCAACTATTTTACTTTATATTGAATGTGTAAATGCAGGACGAAAATTTGAGCATGCACATATTTGATATTTCCTTCAACTCTTTATCCACGTCATATCAAAATCAATAACTTTTTAACAAAAAGTACAATTGCAGGCAAGTTTTTTACTATTGATTGTGAAAAGATTAGGAGAACATTTAAACAAGCACATATTGGACATCTCCTTTATTTATTTAACTACATATTACAATCAAGATGTTATTCTGTCCATTTGAATTATAAATATACTCCTAAAAGCATAAGAATAGACAACAAGAGAAAGAAAGCAGACCTCAGCATCAAGCCCTAAAGAGTTCCGACGAATGACATCTTTCAGATGTGCCCTCTCTAAAGCTTCCCAAAGATCAGCATCGTTATGCTCATTGAAGGGATCCAGATTAAACCGAACAGTTCCTGGATGCAAGTACAGATCAACCAATGGCTTTCACATAAAGAGTTTCCACAAGAAACTGGAACATAAAATGGTTATTTACATACATAGCAGTATACCACCCAAGTCCAATGTATTTATGTATCTAACACAAACTTACTTTTTACATTTAAACCACCCAAATCTTTCATATCACATAAAAAACACCACCATTTCTAATTTTTAAAAAGGGAAATACATTTTGTCATGCATAGATAAGGTGGCATTTCTGTAAAAATTGAAGTATAGGTGTAAAATATGTAAATACATAAGAATTAAGTGATAGGCATGTAAATCTCCCAACATAAAAGCATAGAAAACGCATCAAATTACTGACAGAAGCTGAGAAATAAATGAACAGAACTAAATTTTTTGTTGGGGTTATAAGAGTGTTCTGGTAGCAGTCATTGATCTTTCCATAGAAAACAAAAAACCAGAAGCAAAAAAAGGGCTATAACACAAATGGGATGAAACTTTTGAAAAGGATCATCATTAACCTACTACTCTATCAGTTGTTCAAGGAACAAAGAAGTTCCTTTCTCTTAATTATCTAATCATTCTAAACTAATGCTGAAATAATCCAAAATTCGTGGCCAACACCTTTCCACATAGGGCAACTCAACAATTTATGAACAAATTTTCATCCACGACAATCTAGTAATCTATAGATTGTGACTTTTTATCTCTAGCAATTAAAATTGTGAAAATCAGATCGATCATTGAACCTTGAAGATAGAGAGGTTCAAAGTTTAATGGTTGAACCGGGCTTAAACTAGAAGTTTAATCGAATGACATAATACATATTTAATTATTTTAATATGATTTAAATGATGCAATAATATAAATATATGAGAAAGAAAAAAAAAATTATACACATTAATATTATCAACATTTATAAATTCAAAACTCAATATAGAACTCGTTAAAATATAATTACATCCATATTATAAATTTAAACATATATATATTGTTCGAACTGTCGTATGTTTGATCACTCTAGTTCTCAATGTAATCATCTACACCCCCATGTCAGACCAAAGAAGCAAAGTGTTCTGCGAGAAATTCCCCCTCCTCTTGATATGCTCCAAGTTATCGACAGTACTGATAATCAAAAGGATACCCCTCAAGATGCCACTATCCATATGTCAACTATTCAGCCTCCACACAATGTTGTAGTTTCCCCATTGAAACCTCCTTTCGTGGGGGCGAGGGACACATTTCAGACTTCACCTGCCCTAGAACCTATCACTGATATTACGGGTGACAATATTACTACTGCTTCTCTACCGTCTCATCAGGTCGAGCAAGATATTAATTTTACTCAGGCACATGTGGTTCATTATGTGCAACAAACTACACTTGTCCGACCACCTTGGGACCAATCCACCAATCAGATGAGTCAATCTTCAGATGAGGAATAACGGTTTACACATCCAGAAGGAAGAAGAAGAATGGAGACCTACTTGAGCTCAGAAATCTAATGGAAGATATATTGGTTACTTCGGGTAATGTTACACACCTCACCAATTTACTAGCCGACTCCCTTATGAGAACTCGAGGCAGAGGAAGAACCAAACTGAGTCGTCCCTAGCTTTTTACGCGCGTTGATGTTTTTTGATTTTTTTTTGGATCTTATATGTATCTTTTTTTTTTTGGGTTTTTATGTGTGTTGTATCGTGTGGGTTGGTGCCTTCTTTTAGGACCACTCATACAACTTATCTGTACATTTTCCTTTTTAATATAATTGCCCTAGAGCTTTTTCAAAAAAAGAAAAAAAAAAAAAATATATATATATATATAATATATATATCTACTATTGTACCGGTATGGTTCAGTCAACTTGAACTAAAGCTGCACTTTTTCAATAATCAGGTTCTTTACTCGATTTGGGTCATACTTGGGGACCCTATGAACTATATCTACCCACTTTCAATCTAACTAGACCTTCTGTGGCCAGAATACTTGTGGAAAGAGATATTGCTTTACCTGATCTCATTTAAGTCTAGTTGGGTGCAACTCATAATAGATATTAACAACAAATCGTCATGGAACATTGACCTTCTTATTGTTCTTATTGTAAGATGTTTAGACATACCCTTAATAAACGTCATAAGCTTCATCCTAATTTGAAATCTAAAAATCAAGTGAATAAGGATGAGTCTAACCTCATTGCTCTGGACATATCTGTTCCACCTAGAGAGAAAACTACCACAGGACATGATTTGGTATCTGATTTAGTTGCTCCTGTGGACCCCCCTGATAATGTTGTTTCTGCGATTGATGTGATGTTGGATGGCTCTGCTGGGCAACCTACAATTTCAAACCCTATTGAAAATAGTATTAAAAGATCCTTACCTACAAATGATAGAGTTCAGACTGATAATCAGGAGAACCTTGCAGCTCCCCATCTTCATGAAGTATCTGGTGTAGAGGCGACAACTCATACTTCAAATACACTAGAACTTATTGTGCGTACAACTGTTGGCAATCTTTCTACTACAGCTCTACCACCTCATCTGAATGAGTAACAATCTTCGGATGAGGAATGACAGATTTACACTTCCAGGAGGAAGAAGAAGAATGAAGATCTATCTGGCTAAGGAATATAATAGATGATACTTTGGTTACTTTGGATAATGGTACGCGCCTCACCAATTTGTTAGTTGGTTTCATTCCGAGAACTAAAGACAGAGACAAAACTAAATTGGGTCGTCCCGATTGATCTTATATGTACAATCTCTTTTTTTTGGTTTTTTGTGTATGTTATACTCTGTTGGTTGGGTGCCTATTTGGGCCCGCTCATACAACATATATGTATCATTTTTTCTTTAATATAATTGCCCTTGGGTCTTTATATATATTTGGCATAAACTTATTTCTCCATCTATCTCCTTTTTCCTTTGCAAATATTTTCATAAGTTGCTTCCTCTTGATGATATACTTAAATTAAAAAGGCTAAAACTTGTATCTTACTTCCATAATTATAAAAAAGATACTGAATCTCTGAATCATCTGTTCTTTGAATGTACTTTTGCTAAAGATGTTTGACATCGTATTTTGATTAAATGGGTACCACCCCCCCACGGTTGGTTTAAGGTTAATGTTGATGGGAGTTTTTCCAATGCCTATACGGGTATGGGTGGGATTATCAGAGATGTCTCTGGACGATGTATAGCTTACTTTGCTTCACCTTGTAGTGCTAATTCCTCACTTGAGGCTGAGACCTCTGCTGTGCTTGCTGCTCTTCATACGGTTGTTTCTTTAAAATTAAATGACATTGTGGTGGAAACTGATTCTGAAATCTTTTTAACATTTTTATTGCTAAGATTCAACCCCCTTGGTATATCTTAACTATGCTGAAGAGAATCAGCTATGCTGAAGAGAATCAGGTTAAGAGAATCAGGTTTACTATTGAGAGACATCTTCTTAATATATCATTTTCTTTTACTTATAGAGAAAGGAATCAATCTGCGGTTTGGCTGACCAAATGGAGGGCGCAAAATGCTATTGTTGGAAATTCCCCTCCCTCCCCCTTAAACTTATTAAAAATGATTTGGATGCCCGTTTTGTTCGTTTTTGAGGCGTTAATTTTGCATTAAATGTTTCTGGATTTGGCTTACATGGATTGTCCCTTTATGCTCTTCTTGGAGAGGGTTTTCGAGCATAAAATTGGCTCTCCTTTTTGTACTTTTGCTTCACTACCTTGTTACTTTTAACTCTCTTACCAGGTTTGGTCTTTTGGTGATAAGCTTCACCATCCCTTCTATGTTCAAGCTGTTCTTGGATGGTCACGAAGCTACTCTCCTGCATTTTGACTGGTTTTCAGCCTTACAATTCACACCACTTTTTTTGCACTTTCTTTACATGTTTATAATGGGTATACTGCTTTGGATTGGTATACGTTTTGTTGGGACACATGTATGTATTTTTGAAAGTGGTTACTTTATAGTTCATTTTACATCCTTTTTGTGTAATGTTGTGATGTGGATGGATGGCCCCTCCTGTAACTTACCTGTAACCTACAAATAAATTCTGTGCTTCTGTTTTCATATATTAAGGGGTATAACGTGGATATATAAATATATATATATAAATATATATATAGGTACGGATTGGATCCACTCACAATGGGTAATGACAAAAGATTGAAATAGAATCACACCCTCCTTATTGCTCTTATTGAAGTATGTTTGACCACAATTCTATTATTTGTTATTGCTTGCATCCTTATCTAAGGCTGGATATTGCTAAAGATCAACAATCTGTTCAAAAAACTATTCACACTAAATTGGGGGTAGACGTCTTGTCACCTACCATTCCTGC